TCAATTCTAACAAAACAGAAATCCTTGTAATTGGGTCACACCAATCATCCCCGGTCATCTTTCACGACATGCGTGATGTCATCGGGTTATTCTTCTCCTATTTTTATTCAGTCACTGTGTCTGTTCATGTCTCAGCCGAAATGTTACTGTAGTAACGTAAAACGTGCCAGCAGATGGCAGGAGTTACATTGGAAGTACCGCATGCAAACTATGCAAGTCACTGAATCCTCCACAACAACTTCCTGCAAATGTTTCACAATAAAAGCCTTTTTAGTAAATGAAGGAATTCTCTCAACCGAAGTTATAAGGGGCTTTTAATTTGAAACAGACACAGGAAGTGTTGAGTTTGAAATGATGGCGCAATGCATTAACTTTATCAAGGCAAATGGGAGCAGATAAAAAGTAAAAATATAAAAATACAGAGGGAACAATAAATAGCAGCCCGTTTATAATGTAGTCTGTTTCAAATGAAGCTGGTAGCCTCCACAGTGGTGGTGACTAAAAGTCGCTATTTTCTTTTTTTTTTCCTTACTTTATATCTTCCATTATGAAGAAATAACATTGTTTGCTAGCTTGGTGCTAATGGAAGTACTCAGCGGGTTGATAAAGTGCCCCTGCTGTTTCACACCATCATTTTCCCCTTTTACTCTGTGTGGTAACATCCCTACAGGAAATATCTAAAAGGCTGGGCTGATGATGCCGTACAGTTTCCACAGCAGCAGATCGCTCTGTTTCTATTGGTCAAAGTGACGGCTGTGATGGGATAAGTCCTGAACGACAAAAAGAAAATCAAACATGCTAGACTTTCTGTCGAGACGTAATGAGGCGTCCCAGACGTGGCGTCGGTTGTCATCTACTATGACACACTACAAGAGATGAAACAATGGATTATTGCATACGACTATCGTTGTCATTCACAATGCGAGCCAACACCGTACGATGCTGTGTCGGGCTATAATCGGGCTGAAATCGTGTAGTGTGTACCCAGCATCAGATTTATCTTGCGACTCCACTGGGTAGTTTAATGTACAGCGATGAATCATATTCTATAAAAGGTCATAAACTCCATGATTTCGTCTTCACCTTTTTACTTTCAAACATCAAAGGATAATGTAGTGGCTATTTTTAGTCTGCATCGTTTTCGTCATCGTCTTAATTCACTTCTATAAATAACCATGTCTTAGAGACGACTTCTACACGTTGAGTCAGCTTGGCAGCAACGGCAACATCCTAACGGTGGAACAACTGTGTTGCTCCACCGATCTCATTTATTTTTTCATACTGAACATTTTACAATAAGACCTCATTTACACCGCAAGCGATGCGTTCACGTAGTGCTCGCGAAAGGTCGCTGTCTACTTGCGTTTTCATTTCGGCGAGCATGTTAACAGGTTCAAGCATTCACACCACATCCGTTCTATGCGCTGTCCGAGTCGCGCTGCTTTAGTGAGCAAGCTTGAAAATAGAAGAGACACCGATTTCTTGCGTAAGTGTGAGCAAATGGTCGCTGTATTCAACAAAAAACACGAGTTTGCGTGTGTTGTGGCCTCTCTCGGCCACCATAGACATCTCCCCCTTGACGAAACGAGACCTGACAGCCACTTACCCATTTGTAGTGCTAAATATCAATTCTCCAAGCACTGGAATAATCACTGGCATGCGAACCTGTCCATCCTGGGGTTTCGGTCCAATGCGATGCGTCTGTTCAGTTTTGGTGTGAATACACATGTGCTGCCACTTCGCGAACGCATCGCTTGTGGTGTAAATGAGGCCTAAGGGCACAAGTATACTGACTGCGTGGCCAAACATACGCGTACATAGTGTGCTGTGCCTGTGTACTTCCTGCAGCACGGTCGTTCATCAACGCAGCCAAGACGCCTGATGCTGCACACAGACAGAGGTCACGAAAAGCACAGAAGGTGGTGACACTGTATTTACGGATGTAGTAGGCTATACACAAACATGGATACTCTCAGTGAAGAGGAGATTATAATTTTATGTCTTAAGATCTCAGCAGAGGAAAAGGCGTCATCTCACCACCATCAGAGATGGTATGTATGGCCCGACCTCATGTTTACGGTCTCTAGAGTCTACTTCGCACGAGCGCCTCTAGTGTTCATGTCAATATTGCATCTCGCGCACAAGTCACGTTACGTTACCTCGCGTCAAAGTGAGCGGCCTACGTGCAAAACGACCACAAAATACACATGGCAGCCATGATACGTACGCGCAGGCGTTGTCTGCAGCAAGTATACTTCTCGCATAAGACTTCACTTCCTGTTCATGACATTCATATGGTAGCCGCACAGGACCAATATAAAGATTCACAGAGGTCAAATATACAGGAATTACGTAACCTTATATGTTTACCATCCTCTTCAACATTACGATAAAACATATTTCTCTCTGTATGATAACAGGTCATACCATTTAACAATAAAAGAAACTTCACACTGATAAATGGCGCTTACAGGTACGTTTTAAAAATCTAATAACTAATTTGTGGCAGAGGGAGGGTCATGCATTTTCCACCAGTCACTTAGGGACACTCAAGAACAGTATTTGTAGCTTCAGAGAGGGTCAAAACTTAAAAAAAAAAAAAATGAAGTCACCCCCCAGCCACCCTCCTCCTCTGATAAGTAAAGAACAGTCCCTTACATACAATACTAATCTAGGGCTATTCTGCATGGAGTACTTTAAGTATATTTTCATGCCAGTACTTTTGTGCTTCTAGATGCATGACTTTAACGTGTAGCAGAGTATTTCTACCGTGTGGTATTACTACTCGTCTCCTCAGTAAAGTATCCGAGTACTTCATCACATGAACCAGAGGCAGTGATTCTGCAGAGCTCCACCGGCGGCTCTGCTCCCATTAGCCGGCTAGCTACGTGGCACTGCAGCCCGGCGGCTAGCTCAGCGCCTCCTCTCCAGCTAGCCACATTGCGACTCCTCTGCGGGCTGAAACTGACGACCTCAGCCATAAAGTGCCTCGTGTGTTTTTCTCACATGAAGTTTAATTGATATAATGTGTCAGTGAGCCGTGAGAGCAGCGGGAGTAACGTTACGGACCTCTCACATGTTGACAGCTGGGACAGAAAGCTAACGGGGCGCTGCTAGCCGGCTTCACTACACACACAGGGACACACATCCACATGGTGACATGAGTGTTTTAACAACAAAGCAGCTTCACAGGACGGTAAACACACACACACACTCACACACACACAGATATATAATGACAGTGTGTAGGTGTCGGTGTACATACCTTCAGTCCGGTGAACAGCAGCCGTTTGCAGCCACGCTGGTTGCGTGTCAGCCTCCTCGCCTCAACTGTTTCCTCCAGCTACTCTTATTTTAAAGTATTTCTCATGGATTGACACTTATCGCTTCTTCACTGAGGTTATTACACAGCAAACAGCAACGTGACAGCTCGCACAGCTTTGCTAAATGCTGTAATATCGCTGCAACACTCAACACAACACACCCAACATGTGCGTTTGATGCTATGGAGACACGGGCGAGACCAACTCGGACCGGAGGGGTGGCGCGGTGTAAAGGTGTTGCTTTAAATATTAATAACCACAAAAGGGTCCGTTTTTTAAAAATATGAGGTACAGTTATGCTCCAAGGTTTATGCTTGGTGTTAGAAAGATGTAAAAGCTTGTTGCAATGTTAGCTTATAGAGTTAGCACCGGCAACAGTGTCCCCTACCTACGTGACGGCGCTTCTTACGTCCCTGATTTTGAATAGACAGTTTAATAAAATAAAGCAGCAAATAAAATCTATTAAAACTAATTGATTGCATTGGAAAATTAATACAATATATTTAAATTAAATACATTCAAATACAATAAATTATAATACAGTAAAATTAATACTGGGTTGTGTTCAAGTACAATTTTGAGGTACTTGTACTTTACTTGGGTGTTTTCATTTTATGCTATTGTTTTATACCTATACCCAACTACATTTATTTGACAATTCAAACCACACGGATGACACCCTTTGTCCCTGCTGACGTTGGATCAGGCCAGCACTTTACTGATTGATTGAATTATTGATTGAAGATAGGTTAATGTGGTCTCCTATGGAATTTGAGGGGTGGGAAGATAATAACAGGAGTAAAAGAGAGACTGTGACCAAAGGGCTGATTGCTTGAAAAGTCTTGAAAATTTGTGCAGACATGAACTGAAATGGCTTTATTTATAAAGTATTATATATAATTTATATAACACTTATGTTACTTCCAATCTTGTGTGTGTTTGGTAACCTTTGAATGTTAGAAACTTAACTGTAAGTCAGCAACTAAGTGAGGAATCTGAGTGGCTGTGTTAGCCTGTTATTATTTCATTTATATTGTTGCTGTTTTATTTGTTTGTTTTTAAAAATTATGCTTTTTGTAAAAGGATTTATTGGGACAAAGGGGCAGATTTAATAAGATTGTTCTTCTTTCTGCTCCCTTTCATTCAAAATATAGGAACTCTTGTGTTATTTTTATGTTTGTGGGGTTTTTTTGTCAATGAAATAAAACTAACTAACTAACACATTGACTACTGGACAGTAGGGTCATTTACAGAGTGTTTGGACAGTCACATCAGAATTATATCCCAGATTTAAACACTAAAATTCTACCGTCTTGAACTTAAATGCTATAAAGATACATACAAATTTTACTTCGCTTCTCCTGACGTGAAAGGACCTCAAGTTTACGACAGTGGAATATACACCAATCAGCCAAAACGTTAAAACCACTGACAGGTGAAGTGAATAACTTTGATTATTTTGTTCCAATGCATTGTTCTGCTGGGAAACCTTTGGTTCTAGCATTCATGTGGATACCACCTGACATGTTCCACCCACTCAAACACCACACACATTTTTTATATCAATTTAAAACTGACTACTTATTCCAGGACAGGAATTAACACTCCCCAGGAAAGAGGAAATCACGTCATACAATTGAACCTTCACACAGAAAATACTGTAACACACAAGCAGCATTAAATTAGCATTATTTTATTATTCACTGATTTTAAGGATTCAGTGATTGAAATGTATAAAAGTATAAAAAATACATATATATATACATATCAGAGGCCAAATTAATGATCTGAGCTAAAAAACCTGCAAAGCTTGAAGCACAGCGGTATAAATCATTATGCGTAGAATAGCGATGCAAGCTCAACGATGTATCCATCCGCCTTCAGACACCACGCTCCACGACCGTCTTTTCCCTATTGTAATAGAGACACAGGGTATTATTCAAACTGCACACAGCAGGTACCAGGACAGCAATACTCAACTTATTGAGAAAGCATTTGTAGATAAAATAAGAAGGGGACGTCTGAGAAAAATTCCTGTAAATAAAAAGTCCCGAGTCCAACATACACTGATCAAATCTATCATCAGCACCTCTTTGATGAAATATGCTATCAACAGGTTATAATCAATGTTAGAGCCAGACAGTATTTGTTTTAAGTTGTGGAAAGGCCCTAATATTTACAGTCACTTTGATCTCCCAGAGAAGAAAGCTGATTTTACTGACTTTAGTGTCCAGTCAGTTTGGATGACAGAAAAGAGGAATGTAACTGTGCTGAAAAAGTTTTAATGATGTTCACAGTTTCACAAAGTGTGTGAAAGAATGTGAATGAGGTTAACAGATTAGACTCACAGATCATCATCTGAAGACTCGTCCGATTCTTCATTATGGTCAATGTCCTCCAGCTCTGAGGTAGAAAGATCTTGGCTGCTGCAAGTGTGATAAACACTGTTAATATGCTACGTCATCAGTTTGGAAATAAACACAAAGCAAAAGCAACAGGATTTCAAACATGGTAACAGTGCGTGGACCACTGAAAAAGATGTTATTTACAAGACTGCAAGGGGCTTATTTTAATTCTGCTTTTTCAAACATTTGGGCCATTAGTAGGGTACCGTTCACATTTGAATCAATACGTTACTGGAACCTGGAAAACTTAAAGCCCAGTTCAAATTGTCCAAATGCGCTCTCAGGTACTGAAATTTGGCACAGATTCATTGAAGGTGAACAGGGTTTTCCCTGCCTATCTAAGACAAAGGCGGGCCGCCTGGGTGATTTTGGCCATCGCCTTGGTTAAAGCGTGTGTGTGTGTGTGCATGGGGGATGTTCAAATGCGCGCACAAACCCATTACTTTCAATGTAGACGCATGTCATGCACACTCACAACCCAAAGCGACGCCGTAGCTGCACGCATTTGGCACGACAATGCTTTTTTTTTGCTTCTCCCTCCGGTATTGTGTCAGATCCCGGTTCCCCCTAGGGCTGTGTCTCTCCTACTGTTGCCCACGGAGCTCTGCCCCGTTTGAAAGGTGAAGGAGGCCCGTATGTGGAAAGACGTCGCCTCCGAGATGTAGAATGTGTATTATAGAGGAGAAACACACCTTTCAGGACCGCTGACTTGTATCATCAGAACAGACATGTCCTGTGATTTTCAGCCTCCTTTCATATTCAATAGAGGGGGGACAGTACCTGACAGTAATATTCTCAGCTGTCAGGATGTGCCTGCTGTAAAGGATAAATATAATCATAGAAGGCTGAAAATCACAGGAAATGTCTGTTCTGATTATACAAGCCAGCAGTGTAAAGCTCAAGCATGTGGGAGACTCCTTTCATATTTAATAGAGGGGGGACCGTATCTAAAAGTACAGCTGTCAAGATGCCCCCCGCCACAGGCCTTTGACTCCTTGGTCTTGAAAAAACAAGGGAAAACCCTGGGTGAAGTGGTACTTTATAGTACCAACTCGATTGGTACCCTTAAAAGTACCAAATTCAGCACCCAATCACAGCCATAAGCAAACATCATTATCTCACCTCTGTACACTGCAATGCCACGCAGAGTAAGCTGCACAAGATACTAATTTTTGTGCCATTTTAAAAGTGAGTGTTGGCCTCAGCCCGGACACCTCCATGGAAATTGTCTCGTAAGTAGGAATCAGAAAAGTTCAAGCACAATTTATTGACGTGCGTTGTTGAATGGTTGCATTTTAATGTTGCAGTCTTACATCGTGTGATATTGGACCAGAACTGCACTGAGGAACAGTAAACTTGTCTTCACAGGTCAAGTAACAACAACAGCAGCACATTAGCTAGCATTGATGCTAAAATTATAAAGTAACAGAATGATTTACCTCATCAGACTTGTGTGTGTAAAACATCACTGAATGCAGTTACAGTTAATGCTCATAAGAGCTCACCTGGAGGGGGATGTGTTGTTGAAATTAGTGATATAGTCTTTTGACCGATCACTCTTGAAGGACAAGCTGGAGTCAGAGAGCTCTCCACTTTTCACACTGGTTCTGGTAGACAAGAGAGAAAAACACCAGGGTGGGAAATGAGATGATCAGACATCCAGACACATCAACTGATGGATACACAGAAACTACTGAGTAGACATCAGAGAAGTTTGTTGAGTTTATTGTGTTCCCACTGAATGATTCCTCTCCTCTTCTGACACTGATACTTCACCCACATAATGACCACTTGTAAATCAATTACTCATGCTGTGTTACTGTGAATTCTTGAAAAAAGGAGAGTTTCTCACATGCCTGGAACCACATTAAACATCATGAACTGTATCAAAACATCTGTTTCCAAACTCTCACACAACTCATGCAGTATAATCCAAGTCTCATTTATTCCCATTTATCCATGCATTTTCACTAAAAAAAAACCAACTGCAGCACCACAGGCAGGCAGCACAGTTTGTAATGTCCTTTAATATTATGTTTGTCAAACACAGAATAAGCAGGCAAGTGAGTGAATTTCTTCTCCCTGAAGAAATATGATAATTTATTAGGAAATATGAAGGAGTGATTCCAGAGAGAAGCAGACAGAGGGGTCTACAGTCTGTGTTTGAAGGATATATCCAGGATGTCAAACTGACTCAGCAGCAACAACAGGTTAAAAAGACAAAGACAGTTAGAAGCTAAAGCCGAACTATAGGCTACAGATCACAGTGTAAAAGTGAACCACCACATCACTGCTGATCGCCACACAAGACAATGAATGTAATGGGAAACTTTGCTGATACTGAACCAGCTGTGTGGCATCGCAGCGTGTGCAGTTGAACAGTGTTTTTGTGCCACTGCCAGCACCCAGACCTCTGCCACTGGATGGGCAGGGATCTCCAGTTGAAGTCAAACAATGTTCATCTGCACACACTGTGATGACACACAGCTGGTTTCCCTGCTTCCCTTCACTGGTTCCTGTACAGCAGGGTCGGCCTTTGTTTCACTGTTATAATCATTACAAAGCAAAAGCAGCATGTGTATACATTCAGTAGGCTATATCTTCAGTAGCTAGCTAGCTAACCCTACACTTTTCAGGGTCTGATTTTGGTTTTGGAACAGGGAAGAAACGTATATCTTTTTCCAACCTCTCCAGGTAACGAGTATCATTAATACACGATGTGCCCCAGGCACAACATTTAAACATTTTCTGTTTAATTAGCGAAGTGAAACACTGCTCAGATTTGATTTTCTAATGATACAATCAGATTGTAATGCATTTTATGGATTATGTTCACAGAATATTCAACTCAGGAGGTTCTTATCACACTGTTTTCTGGAGATACTTCAAAAATTAAGGATATTTGGAGCACTGATAACAAATACAATACTAGATATATTATGCAATTTGTTTAAAGCATCACTTTATTCACCGATATGAGTAAACCATTCACACAAAATATATAAACTCGTGTTTTTCTCTTTATAAAAGAGCTGTTAAGAGAAATGGATGGAAAAAAATAACATAATAAAGTTTTTTTTGGCTTATGATTAATGTGTGAAATTAGAGTAGAAATCTACCCTTACAGTATTTTGTGTGTGTTAAGAACATAACTGGGTTGTGAGGATAAATTAGTCACTAAATGGTTAAAGATCCATCCTGTCTCCTGTCTTGTGAGTTCGACACCCCAGAGTGAGTGTTATCCTAAATATTCCTCAAACACTTCCTCCTGTTTTTCAGGCTCTACTCACCTCTTGACATTTCTAAACTTTATTGTGCACCATGTCAATAAATGTATTTCTCTCTTAAATGGAGTCTCTCCTGACTGAACTGACTTTAGTGTCTGTCAGTCCAGATACAAGTGACAGAAAAAATGAATGTGACTGTGCTGAAAAAGATTTAGTCATGTCCACAGATTCATCTAAATATTTAAGACTGTGTGTGAAACAATGTAAATGAGGTTAACAGATTAGACTCACAGGTCGTCTGAAGACTCGACCGAATCTTCATCATCTGACACAGGGTCCTTGAAGATAGAAAAGTCCGACCTGCAGCGAATGATAATCAGAGTTATGAAGCTGCTTCAGTTTGTCTTCACAGGTCACGTAGCAAAAGCAGCACATCAGCTAACACTGATGCTATAATTAGCAAGTGATGTTCAGAGTTCAGATGCTTCTTCAGATGACCATTAAAAGCAAAAGCTGCACCAACTGTTTATGATTCAGTGTTAGTGAAAGCTTACTTCTCTTTAGGAGCGGGGAGTGTGTCTTTAACATTTGCAATGCGACCTTGTGAATTATCCCTCTTGACAGACGCATAGCTGATGCCCGGGGAAGGTGACTCTTCTACAAGGGATCTGGAACAAAGATAATCACACACATTTACTCACAGAAAACCCCACCCCCATAATAATCTCCCCTCACCTTACCTCTCCCCTTTTGCTGTTGTGCGCCGTGGGAGAGGTAAGCGACTTTGCTCTTCCATGTTTTAGCGCTGTTGGAATATGTTTATATTATGCTAACATAATCTCGTGTTGCTTAACTTGTGTTGGGGCTGGAGTTTGTATGGTTGTGTATGACGGAGGATTTTTGTTTTTGCCACTTGTTGTCAGGTGTGTTTTCTGTTTAATTGTGCTTAATTGAATGCAACGGCACCTTTTTGTTGTTGTGCTCCATGGGAGAGGGGCTGGAGTTTGTATGGTTGTGCGTGACTGAGGATTTTTGTTTGGTGTCAGAAGAGGAATAAACGGAGATCACCTCAAAATATATCTACGGTCTGGGTCTCTTTATATCTACACAACGCAGACATCAGAGTCCATCTAGAGTCCACCAGTTGCATACGGATTCATCACTCTCCGTAAAAATATACCACCATGATGTGGTCTCGCCACCAGACAATCAGAGATCTCCGCCTTCTGATAGTTTGGGGACACTCCTTTCTAAAGTGTGTTTAACACACTGGAGAAAACGGCCGGTGTCAGCGGCGGCAGACTCTGGGGTTTTTTTGGACCCAATTGTATTGCGGAGTTTTGCACAGTGGTGACCAGATCTTTGCTCTCAAACCACAAAAAAATGTGATGGCACAACAGTCTCCTTCAGTACATTATTCTATGCTTTCTTTTGATTTTCACATTGGCTAGTCATCCTGTTTAATTTGTATTCTGATTAAATCGGAACCTTTGAAACTAGTTGTAGGAAGCCTCTGCAAGTAATTGGTTGCTGGCAGACACTCTGTGCTGCAATAAAATGGTTAATCAGCAGTGCTGTGCACTGTAGAGCCGATGCGCTGCTGGTTCTGCCGGCCTGAATAGAATATAATGTCTATAGCCTTGCTGTTGTGTACAGCATTTATAGACTGAGCTGAGCAGTGACGCGCGGGTCGAGCAGTGATCATCTGTTAAATCAGTCTGTAAATGATATTTTGACATTATTGGCTATTACTGTCATGGCGTCCGAAGGTAGTGATGCGTTGAGCAGGTGACAGTCCGTGGTCGTTTTCAAAACATACTTGTGTCACGCACTCCAAAAGAAACTTGTTGAAACTTTAAACAATAATTTATTGTACAAAACGGGGGAAACAAACGTTGACAAAAACGGTTCCATAATTCATATTAAATTCAAAAGATAATGAAAAAACAGCTAGAAGTCAGAGGGAATAGTGATAAAGTGGTAAAACTTGGCATTGATCCACAGCCTCAGACGGATGCGCTCAAGCGTGCCGTGCACAAGCTCAGTTGGTAGGCGATACTATATTTTCACATTTTTAACAATGCAATTTAAGTTTTGATTTTTATTGATAACCTACATTTACCAACAACAAAAAGACTACATTTAGCACCAAAGAAAATGTTTTAAAAAAAAAAGAATATCAAATACCAAATTGTCATAACGAATACCTACCCATAGAAACGAATATTCGAATATCCGAATATTTGGGTACAGCCCTAAGTTCATCACTGTGTTTTTTTCAAAAACTGTAAAACTTCTCAAACCTATCTCCTCCCACACTTTTTGATCAATTGACACCAGACTTGCTACAGAGCATCTTCAGACTGTCTTCCACAAACTGTCCTCACAGATTTTTGATTTATCAAAAATTGAGCCTACAGTGCATCAAGATGTTTGACTGTAAACAGTATTGTAAACATATACTTGCAAATTCTTGCTAAATAAGTTTTCAATGTTCATGAAAAAAATTAACAAAATTTTGGAGTCATGGTAGATGATGTGTGGCAAATATCAGAATTTTATCTCAAAAACTGAATTTTTGACAGCATTTTGAATTCTGTCCTCACGTGAACCATTGCTGTCAATGGGAATAGAGCATTTTTACACATCAGTTTTTCCACTTATGAGTAAATCAATCACAGTTAAAAACTAATTAACAACATCTCCATGCTGTCTAGATGCAAGATGTGTATTTTCAGATTTTTGTCTTGATAACTGAATTTATGACAGCAGACTGAAATCCGCCTTGACAGAAGTTGTCATCCTGGTGGCCGGCTTACTCAATATGTGAAGCCACAGATGAGTTGCTGTCAGCGTGTTGAGGGTTACACCCTGAGGAAAGCTTTTGTGCTGAAACGCGTGGGCTGTTACCCACTTTCATCATGTTTTAACTTTTTCTAAATGAAACAGCCATTTTTTGAATAAAGGCTTTCTATACATTTAAAGAAGAGTGCCTTGGATTTTCCTTTTTTTGATGCAAAATGTACATTGTAATGGCAACTTTCTTGTTGCTCAGAATTGCCTAAATTTGCCTGAAATTGCTCGGCCCTGACCATTGCTGCGTAGCGGCTATAATTAATATTCTTTTTACCATAAATAAATGAGTCTCTCCTGAGTGAAATGTTAATAAGAGCTTACCTGTGTGATGATCTCTCTTGAATATTAAGGCTGGGTCTTGTTGACCTAGCAGGGGAGCACTCATGGTTTATCACTCTGGTTTTGGTAGACAGAAGAAAAAGACCACCAGGGTGGGAAATTAGATGAGGCTGATAAAGACATCCAGCAACTGATGGATACACAGAAACTACGAGAGGGCATCCAAGAAATTTGGTAAAAGTTGATTCTGTTCCCAATGAATGATTCCTCTCTGCTCTCTAACACACAGAATGGCAGGATGGTGAAACAAAATACGCATGACGATATCTTATCAGTGAATGCAGGTACATTTTAATGATGATAAAAGCTTACTTGAGAGGGGATCTGTCTATGTAATCAGGGATGAAATGAAACCGATCACTCTTGATGGACACACTGGACTCACAGGACCCTCTGCTTTCTGTTGCTCTCCTTGTAGACAAGACACAAAGACCACCAGGGTGGGACACTACCAGAAACTACCAAGAAGGCATCAGGAAAGTTCAGTAAAAGTTGTCTCTGTTCCCACTGAATGATTTCCCTCCTTGTCTGACAGACTTTAACATCAGTACTACTCAATCATGCAAGAGTCATTTTGATCTCATCAAGAAAAGGAAGTTGATTTTAAAGGAATACTTCACCCACAAAAAGACCATTTGTGTATCGATTAGTCATGCCACCTTACCGCAAATTCTTGCAAGGGGATCTGTCATTGAAATTGAGGATGTTCTCTTTTGACCGATCATCCTTGAAGGACACGTTGGAGTCAGAGCCCTCTCTGCTTTTTGCTGTGGTGCTGGTAGACAAGAGGAAAAAACACATCAGGGTGTGAAAGTACAAATACCAATGCAATACCAATACCAATACAAAGTATTAGTCATACTTAAACCACTGCAGTACACATGTGAGTATCATTGTCACATACATACACAATCATATATCAATAGATACTTAGCTATTGTCATCACTGCTGTCTCTAACTGTATTAATGTCTCATTTTGTCACATGGATCACTGTAAATTTGTTATGTCGACATCTATTACACGTCTGTCCGTCCTGGAGGAGGGATCCCTCCTCAGTTGCTTTTCCTGAGGTTTCTACCATTTTGTGTGAGGGATGTGATTTGTGATACTGGGCTTTATAAATAAAATCTAATTCATTTGAATTCTTGCTGAATTTTTTCTTTGCTTTTTCAAAAGTAGTTTACCCGTAAGAAAAGACCCTGCGGCACTTCAAACTGATGATCTCAGGCTCAAAGTGGAAAGGAGGTCATGGTGGATGGGAGGCTCCTAAAAGCACGAGCACGGTGCATTGTTTTTAGGAATGCAGTCACATTTTAATATTAATAAAAGCTTACTTGTGAACAGATCCTTCTTTGATATCTGGGACGAAACCGTTTGACCTTGAGGGCCTGGGGGACGCCATGGATCTGCAGGAATCTTTGCTCTCCATATTTATTCTGGCAGACAAGAGAGACAAACCACCAGGGTGGGAAATCAGAGATCTACAGATACCCAGGTTGTTCAATGTTGGAAACAGCATCATGGTGGAGAGATGTTGATCTTGTAATCCCTCTTATCCACCTTGCAGGGTCATTATGCACTCTACTTACCCTTGCTCACTTCAGTTGCAGCTAATCATTCAATTTGCTCTATTTTTTTTACATTGCAATGGCTGTATTCCAGTGTCCACTGTTGCTTCAGCTCACTGTATTTTGCTCACGTGTCCTTTTATGTTTTACGTGCTGTGTAACCAACTGCCCTGCAGCGCCAAACATGAAGCTGAAGAATCTAACAGAACTGAATAACATAAAAATCTACTGTTGCGTTTATGTTTTTGACCCCTAACAGGCTCCTGATGACAGTAAACACTGCAGTAAGTCTGTTTTATATGACTCTACGTCACACAGCAATAAGACATTCAAACCGTGGTCCCCAAAAGTTTCACACGTCTGTGCTTTTTTATGGCGCCAATACGTCAGTGTAGTGGGTGAGGTTTCTTGTCCACTTTCTCTGCTTAGTGAAACGACAATATAAGTGTCAGTTGCATCATGAGATCATATCGTTGAAATAAAAGCAGGTAACACAAAGTCTGTTTTACTTGTTCATATCCGTTGCAAGACGAAGAACAGTAAGCGCAACGCACATGCGTAAACATTGCCAACAAACATCTGAAGCGGTTTTTCCAAACAGGATGAAATCACACGATGACACAAGGACCCTGCGATAAGATTAATATAATAAAGTGTATAAAAGACGTTGTTACAATACCTTTAAGTGGGAAAAACAACTGCGCCACAGGAGAGGAAAGATATTGGCAGATTCGAACTTCCGGGATCAGTAACTCTTAAGTGAAACGTTGTTAAAACACAAAACACACATATTTTCAATCGTAGTAAGATAGACAACGAGCTACAACATAATATTCATCAAAATGAGCCGTCCTCTGAGCCACACCAAGAACATTGGTGTTTACGTGCAGCCGGCTTTGAGCGCAGCGCGCAGGGACCGTCTACAAAGTGCAACACCGAAAAGAGATATTACAAAAATATTCAATAACGTCACTATAATACAGTGTAGTGTCACCAAACTCACTCCACACTTCATTGGTCTCCTACAGAGTACACTACAGCACTTGGTTTGAAAGAAAGGCATTTTACATAATTTCTGGCAATTTTTCTTAGGAATATTAATCAATAATTTCAATATGATGCAGTGTAGGGTCACCAAACTCACTCCACACTTCATTGGTCTCCTACAGAGTACACTACAGCACTTGGTTTGAAAGAAAGGCATTTTA